TGATCGCGGGTTCCTCTTCGGGAAGCCCCCACCCCACGCCCTGTGAATAACCCCTAGGAATTTTAAGTTAACTTATCCCGCGGGTACTCGCTGAAAAACGCATGTCACTTAAATTTATTGGCCGCAGCAGCAACAACAACGGGCCCAGCCACTGGCAACTGGCAGCCATCAGCCAGCAGTTGCCCCGGGCGGCAGTTGGTGAGATGCATTTTTCATTCAATTTCCAGCCGGGCCAGGCCAGGGCTGGCTGCGTTTTATGTTCGCCCAGGGGCTGTAAAATCGATTGATAGACACGGCTCATGATTGAAATTGAACGGCAAGGGGCAGCAACATACCGGCAGCGGGGGCGGCCCTCAAATGTTTAGCAGCAAATTTTACGTTTTCGTTTAATTGCCTTACACGGCCGTAAAGTCATAAAGTCAGCAGGGGCCTCCCCGCCCCCCAAAAAGCTGTCTATATCTATATTGTATCATTATGCTCGGGGGCGGAAGTGGAGTCTTGCTTAATCAAGCTGCAAGCCCGGCTCTCGGCGGCTTATTAATTGGCCCGAAAGACAAAAACAAGCGTTCGCTAATTGCTATCACGACAAGTGCTTGGGGTCAATTAATTTAAATAAAAGCCAAATTGTCAGGCCAGTCGAAGGCATCTTAAGGCCTAAATAAACTTAATTATGAATGGCTAGGGGGGTCAGGCAAATGGCCCGCAAATGAATCATCTTTTCACGAAATATCTCATAATTATTACAAAAATAATACTTGGTTCTTGGAACTCTGCTATCACTTTTCCTGGAAATCCCTAATGTGGCTTATCATCCCACTAATCCAGTTCTAAAGCAGGTTTAAGGTCGAGATTAGTTCGATTGGAAGGTGTCCTATTCGAGTGATTCCCTCCGTTTTAATCCTCTTTAGAGCCCATTGAGTCGTGCGCTATCGCCCATTGCAACACCTAATGAGAAAAGAGTTCGCCCCGGCACATAATTCAGTTCATTAGTCCTGGGCCGGCTCACCCACCCTACATGTCAGCCCATAACCGAGTCGCACTTCGACCTTTTATGGCCGCGAGGGCTTGGCGGTTCGGCGGCTTGGCGAATCAGAACCACGTGACTGGCCCATTTTTATTGGCGAAATGCGTTTCTCGCGTGGGTGTGGCTCTCATCGGATGGCAAGATAGCAGGCGGGTCGGGGGGCATAAATCAGATTTAATAGTGCAGCTGGGAAAGTTGTCTTCGCCGAAAAAGGAGGAAGCGAGGGCCTGGGATACGCATACGGGACTTGGCCGGGCCGCTTAATGAGATTTCCAGGCGGAAGAGCAAAAAGCGAAACCAATTTTATTCGCCATTTCTGCTGTCAACATTATGTTTTTGCCTTTGCAGTTCTGCGTTCTGCGTTTCGGGCTTTGTTGTGGCAACAATTTTTAGTGTCGCATTACGTGCAACATTTGCCCGTTGATTGCTTTGGGTAGCGGCTGCTGCCGGCGGGCCCCTGGCCTCCTCCTCGCCGCCAATGCCACCCCAGGGCATTGCATAAATTTGTCTAGCTTTTGTTTTGTTGGCTGGCTTTACAATTTATGCTCTTGTGGCGCCCCAAAATGCGGCGGTGGCCCTTTGTTGGCCTGGCTTGGCGAAAATTTGCTAAAACAGCAACCCCCAAATCCGCCCCGCTCCGCCAGAGCCAAAAGCGAAAACTTTTCGGCCATAAAGCACATGTGACTCCCAGACCCACACTCGGGCACTTGGCTAGTTGTGGTCCTCATTGCGTATTACATGGCCATGTGGGCTGCCAGAAATATATTCGGCTATTTTGTTTATTTTGCAGTTTTTTGGTTGGCATTCCCTGCTTAAAGCTTTTCCTGTCGCCGAGGAAAGCGCTGCCCATAAATCATCCGAGCAGCTCAACGCTGAACTTGGTCGGTGATAAGCGCTGGGATTTCCAGACAGAGACTTGTATTTGTAAAAAATTGTATGCTTTTTGAGGGCTCTTTAAGGTTATCAGGTTGGAGCTCAGGCTTATAAATGAGTGCTGAGAATGGTGAGATCATGCTGTGATTGATGGACTTCATCTTCAGTGTTCCGAGGTGTCTTGTTCCATCAATTTTTGTGATTTCTTAAGCACTCTCCCCCCTTAAACGCTTTAATTAATTTATCGCTTGGCTGTCATTTTATCGCCGCGGATGTCGCAGGACCTTGGCCATCCGCTTCCCCCAAATGCGACCCGTAATTGCTTTAAATGCCATTACGATACTTGTGCGCAGCATGACCGGACTCGGGAGCATCCGTGCGAGTGTCGTCTGGCCGCCAGCCAGATTGCCAGGGCCAAGGGCGGACTCGGTCTTTAATTCGGCTCCGCGGCAGTGGCATCGCCTGCAATTGTTTTCCGCCTCAAATAATTAAGTTAAAGTGGCCAGTCAACTGATTCGAGGAGCGCTGAGCTCCGCTCAGTCTGAGGAACTGCACTCGATGCAATTATGTTTTCGGCCAGAGAAGAGTTGGGCAAACAAAGGCAAAAAGACGTAGACTCGAGAAACAAAGAACCGGCAACCGAGGGGCCAACGACCTCTAACCTGGTGCAATCAGCGTAATTAAGGCAGCCAGCGGATGGCTTATAAATCATTTATTGCCAAGACATTATCGCGGGAAACTCGTTTGGCGCAAATTATGCTACGGAACGCGTTAGTCTATGACAGATTGTATCTGCTAGATACCGCAGCTCTGCCGACGTGCCAGCGAGCTGCTATTATGCTGCACGTACCTCTCACCAGCCGCTCACCCTTGCCTCGTTCGGTGTCAGTTTATGGCCAGGGTAAGTTCTAAAAAGAGCCAGCTTCGGAGTCGAACACGCCGCACAGCCCCAGCTGGGTTGGCCAACATCTTGTGCAAATCTCATTTATTTGCGGCTTTGCCACATCGGCATCGAGTATCTGGCGAATGCCTCAGCATCGGCATCAGAATCAGCCGCATAACATCGCATTACATACGTGTCGATGCTCGATGCTCGGTCCTGGCCTGGTCTGGTCTGGTGTGGTGCCTTGGCAAATGCACTTTTGATATATTGGCTCAGGGCTTATTGGTTTTCCATCAACTGCGGCTGGCTGGGAGGGGAGGCTGGCTGGCTGGGAGGCACTTTGATTTGCGGCCTCCTATAAATTTCATCGCTTCTGACATGACAATCGAGAGATGTCAACAGAAGGCGGGCGCCAAGCTACAAACAGCCTGGTAATACAATATTTGCACATGCCCCTATCGCTGGGCTGCCATAAAAATAAATATTTCCCAATTCAGGAGAACACTACGTGCTATTTGCATAAACACGCTACCTGTTTGCGGAAGTACTGGCTCAGGGCTCTCATTACTTTATGAATCTTAAAAGGCAATTAGATGCGATTTAATTGGAAAGAGTACTGCCTCTGAAGATGAAACCAAGAAAGAGCATCCCATATTCGATCGATCCCAGGCCGACCGCATATCAGAGCCAGCAGCCTGACAGTTGTACTGGGATAGCGGCTAAATCGCCATAAAAGTGGATTATAGCCATATATAGATGGGCACTAGCCCTGGTTGTGGTTACATGACCAGACCATGATCTCCGTCTGTACTCGTCCTGGCCGCGTGGGGGAAATAGTTTAAGGCAATCTCTCGAGACGGGATTTGTGGCCATGTTGCAGCCCGGGACCGATTGCAATCTGCTGCTCCATGTACACAGTACGAATGTGCGAGGAGACATTCTTGTACATGAGTCATAAATTATGTGCAATGGCAGGGCCATGGCCGTCACCCAGACGTGACGACGCCTCTGCCTCTGGGCCCAGGTCCCTGGTCCTCCCTCCTCTTAAACGGGCAACCATATTTTGAGGAAAAACAATTTTTGCCAAGTTAATTTGCCATTTCCGGGGACGGCTGCCTGTCAGCTTCCGTTTGGCCAAAACAGAAGGAGCTCTCCTCCGCTGCACCTGAGCATGCTTAATTGAATTTCGCATTTCAGCGAAATGAACAGGCAACTGGGCAGATTGGAGACTGTTTATTTTCGCATTTTATTCCCAGAATGCCAGACAACGGGGGTCACTTGGTGCGTGCCAATGTCTGTGCACTTGAAATGGCTAATAGGATCCGAGGGCCGAGAGAGATTCAGAGCCATGCGTCTTCCAGTGGCGCAGTAAACGTCAGAATGCGGCCCGGCTGCCATAAAATTGCCTGAATTTAGCGCTAGGTTGCCGTCGTTTCTCTAGCCCATCTCCATCTCCAACTCCAACTGCATTTCCATTTCGAATGCCTCCTGGCATCGGTCCAGGTCCAGTCCAGGCCCTGTCTCCCTGTCATCCTGACCATCTCCCAGATGCAGTGCCTCCTCCCGTTTTTCTGTCTCCCTCTTCTGTGTCAAGTGTCTTTGCTCTGGGCTTGTTAATCTACGAGTGGATGCTTCGGCTTCTGTTGGCTCGCTTCCTGGTAGCGACTCCTCCTCGGGCCTTGTTTTCATTACCGACCAAGTCCACATGGCGGCGGCCTATTAAATGCAAAATGTACAGACAGCCAGAAAGACAAACGGTCGCCGGTTCGCTCCCTCCGCCCTGTTTTTGTCATGAAAATTAAATATGCAGTCCCAGTCCCAGTCCAAGTCCCAGTCCCAGTGCCACTGCCTGGGCATGTGGCTGGGTTATTAAAGTTAATTACAATTTTTCATGGCATTCATTTTGCTGCAAGTTGCAGCGATAACTCAGTTTTTCTCTCTTGTTGATAGTGTTTTCCGTGTCCTTGGTTTTGTGGCGATTTTTCCACTCTATTAATTTCCGCGCTGATTTATGGCCTCACCCTTTTGTTTACGGAGCAGCCTCGATGGCCATGTGGCCCAAATTGAAATCGTATCGAGGGCTATTTCCATTATATTGCACGAGAAGCTCTTTGTAATTATCCGCCGATGATAGCGGTGGGCGGAGGATTAAATGGCCGGAGATGAAAGACGAAATGCCAAGACAATGTTTATAATTAAGACTTTTATTCTCATTTGCAGCTGAAAGCGACCTGCTCACCTTCGCACAGCGCAAGCATCACTTCGAGACGGACAAGTCATTCCAGAAGGAGCTCTTCACCAGCGACACCCGACCCCTCAGCGTCCGCCAGCTCTACACGGAGGCCGGCAAGGAGCTGCCCGTCTCCGCCGGGGCCACGGCCGGAGCTCTGGCCTCCCTGGCCCAGTCCCAGGCCCTCACCCCGCCCCGCTCCATATCCTTCAACGACGAGGTCCTGTCCAGCGACAACGAAGTCCTGCAGCTGAATGGCTCCGCGGGGGCCGAGGATCAGCTCCTGTGCATTTCCGAGTTCGGAAACGCCAACCGCAAGCTGCGCACGCGCATCGACGCCGAAATCGAGATCCGCCTGGTGAGTAAAGTGCCATTTAGCCGGGCTAACTGCACCCAACTGGTTCCCGCCTCGCCGACCGTTAGAGGCCAGTTACGAGGCACAGGTACACTTGCCGCACTGTACACTGTGCACCGTTCGAGCATTACTTCCTCGTGCATAAATAATACTTTTGTTGGGGCAGTTTACCCAAAACGAAAACCAGACCATACCGCAAACTATGACGACCTCATGTGTGTGGTCTGTGTGGCTCCCGACCGCCAGCTGTGTTGCCTCAAAAGCTAATGCCAAATCGCCCCCTTTCCACCCAACTCTGGGGCAACTATGTGCTCCACATCGTCCGTGTGGCCGCCCAATCTTGGTCGTGCCTGTGTTATAGCGATGACGGCAATGGGAACGGGAACGGGTACCGGGACTGGTACTAGCACTGGAACAAGCCAACAAAGACCACACACAGACCTCATCCGTCGCCCATCAGCCATCTGCAGCCGGCTAATGGCCGGCGAGGAGGAGAGCCAGTCGCAGCAAATCATTCCGAGTTAGTCAACCCGTTTTAATTGCTCAACTGACGTCCCACGCTATTCTGTGGCAGCTTCGGCGGCCACGAGGCTAGTTAGCCGGAGCTGTTTCAATTGAATCTTGACAGACAGTTCGACTAGGGATCTTAATTAAGGGATCGTGCTTGGCTCAGTGCTGGCAGCAGTTGTCGTATTAATTGGGCTAAGAGATCCATAAATCCGAGGGCTGGTTCATTAAAGTCTTTAAATAGCTCTGCAGGATAATCCCCATTTAGAACTACAATACTTTCTACAAGTTTTTGGACGATTTCCTAACGCTTTTCTTTGCTATTCTTTTACCTCTTTTGTGTTGGAAAGTTCTTCCTCTCGACACAAATCGCTTCCACTTTAAGCCAACAAAATTGAAAAGAAGCTCCACAATGGCATTGCCTGCAGCCTGGGGCTGCTCATATCAGAAAATTGCAGTTAATTTGAGCCAACGCGCTTTCGCAGTCATCCCATTCGGTCTGTGTCGCGTCTTTGTCCTCCGCTGACGTCGGGGCTTGTTTATCTTTTGGCCAGGCCATTAGATAAGCTCCGCAAAGACAAACAGCCAGCAGCCACCAGCCAGCGACTGGGATAGACTGGGATGCCAATGGCAACTGCCGCGACGTCGACAACTCGGATCCCTGTTCAATAGGTTGCCAAACTAGTTTCTTTTTGGCGAAAACAAGCGCCCCGGCTGTCAATCCCAGTCCACTGGCTGGTACTGTCGCCAGACATCCTACCATTTCTGGCCGTAGCTCCATTCTGTCGTCTGCTCCTTAATAAAATGACTTTTAATCCTTTTCGCATTGCGTTTGACGTTAGTTGGCTAGTTGGCTAGTTGGCTAGCTGGCTAGATGGCCGTTGCTTTCCGCTCCGATACACCCCAAAAGATACTCAATACCCCCAGAGACGGTCCAGAAAGTCAAAGCCAAGTCGCAGACTTCTCCAGGCCGGCCATTAGCGCTCTGCGGTTTATTGGTTACGGCAGCAACTATCTCCAAGACAGCCCGGAACGGGCCTGTGGGCCTGTGGGCTGCCGTCTTGACGGCACTTAAATTGCATTATTATATACGGCTCGACATTTATGTGCAAATATTTTATCGTTAAAGTTGGCCCCTCCTGTCCGCTCACTCATCCCGCCATTGACAAGGCCCCAGCCCGGCTCGGCTCGGGAGTCTGCTTCACTTACTCTGGAAATCTAGCTCAAGTGCCTTTTTATGTAGATTTCGGTGGTGTGGGTGGCCTGGAAATGGCTCCAAAAAATGGAAATTGGGGGACAGTCACACCACCCCTCTGCTGGATATCTTCAATTATTACAATTGATTGGAGAGTCGAACCGAAAAATCAAATGAAAATATTGCGCTTTTCTCTACGAGTGTAATTCACTTAAAAACATCAGACTATTTCAATGTTTCTGGCGCAGACAAATGAAATTACATTATTTATGACTTGATTCCCAGATTGTTTTTAGATTTCTCTCAATTCTCTAACCCAACTAACTATGAGCTGCGGCCCTGCCCACTATTCTCAGCCATTCTCCTTTATTGTTTTTAATTAAACTGATTGAATTTCGATTTCGTAACAAACTGTAAAACGGGGAAAATAACAAAAATGAACTGCCACTGCCACTGAGCGGCCTGCCACATTTGGGAGATTTAAAAATCGCGTGACTTGCCCCAATTTGCGCAAAGCATAGAAAAATGTTTGGGCAAACAGAACACCAAGAGGCAGCTCACGTATCCCCATAAAGGGATGTATTCGTGACAGGCTGTTGTGGCGGCTCCTCTGTCCCACTGGCTAATTAAGGACCTGTCCGCCCGAACATGAACCCTGAAAGCCACATAAGCCCAACCACTCACACACTCGGCCCGCGCGAGCATAAAACAATATTTTTGCATGCCAAATGCGTTAATTAAGGACGATGTTTTAACTGGCCTCTCTGTTTTTTATTTTTTTTTCAGCCCGCTGCCATCGAGGATCTGCGGAAGTGGACATCCAGCGAGGCGCTGGGTGATGTCACCGTCACGCCGGATTGCATGCACCACGTGGACACCTCGGTGAGCACCTCCCTGGCCATCGGCGACAACGGCCTTCTGACCCCGGCCCTCTCTCCGTCCGTCCTCTCCGCCGACGCCGTGGACGCCCTGTACGCCCAGAACCTGAGCCAGGCGGCGGACAGCTCCCAGCACCACCAGTCCCGGAGCAACCACCACCCACAGGCCCTGCTGCCGAACGATATCAATAAAGACGTGCCTTTGAATCATCGCCTGCCCTCGCCCGAGGAACAAACCAAACTGATTGCCTTAAAGTGAGTATTGCGGAAGGCCCCTCCGGCGATCGGGTTTCTCGCCTTTCCGTTCGATAGCCGGTTCAGCATTAATTAATAGCCTAGAATTATTAAAATCATAATTAATTTCCCAACGAGTGCCAAGCAAGCGTTCTATGAATTAATGAATCATGAAAAAAAATAGCAGAAGATTCATTTTAACTTTGTATGATTTTAACAAAAAAAACCTATGATTTCCTTTTATTTACCTTCAAGAAATTAACTAATTATTCAAAATTTAAAAACTAGACAATTTTACAGTTTTAGTGCACTGTGTCACCGCTTACAGTTTTACAACGGCTGTGCCCATTTCCCATTTCAGGAGAATCTCGAATTTAAACACAATTTTAATGTGTTTTTTATGCAAATTTCACCGCGTCTATTGTTTGCTTTTGTTTTTCATGACGCACCAAACAAAAAAAGAAATAATAGCTTTTATAGCTATCCGTTGTTTGTTATTATTATACATTTTTTCGACGTTCGATAGCGTTTTTGCCCTGCCCGTCTGGAGCACGAGATGCCCGTTCAGCGAGCGCATCGGGGCAAAAAATGCTTAAATAAATTAATTCAATTACGTATGAATATTTACAATGCGGCCACACACATTATGCAAGTGTCGCCGACCCGGCTTGGCCCCAGAATGCACCTTCCCAGCCCCCCAGCCCCCAGTCCCCCCCAAAAGCCTATATTGGTATTGGGCGACGGGCTTTGGGCGTGCCCGTTGCGGCCATGGCTCATTTGTTCGGGGTTTTTAAAACTCCGAAATGGAGCAGCCACAGACCAGAGCAACCGAGCCGGGCATTCACGCTCCGTCGGTTTTGGAGCACAAAAATGTGGCTGGCTGGCGTATTAAAGCGTAAACAAATTGTTGTTTGGATAACCGCAGAAGTGCACTTCGGAGAGCCGTAGCCTCGCTCGATATTCGAACTATACACGCTTTCCGCATTGGTTTTGTAAACAAGTTTCTCCCAAAAGCGATTCCCACAAACCTGAGCCGGGGTTTAATTTTCGAAATGATTAATTGCTAAACAATATTCTCCTTGTGGCCCAACAGATACCCCGCCGAAGTGATTTCGGTGAACACCAGCGGGAAGCACTTCCAGCGGATGTGTGCGGCACGGAAGTCGACCACTGGATGCTACGCCGGCGGCACCACCGCCGCCGGGTCCTCGAGCAGCGCCTCGCCGGAGAACGGCGGCCAGCCGGAGGGCAACAACCTGGACGACAACGTCCAGACCGTGAGCCGGCGCTCCAGGTCCCGCAAGGTGCGCGGCAAGCGGAGGAACACCATAGCCGGAATCGACCAGAAGGAGATCCAGGACGCGGCCAATGGGTACGTAGCCGCCTCTTTCTGTCTAGCCATAGCCCTAGCCCCCGGTACATGTCTATATGTGTTCTGATGTATAGATGCCACCTGTTACTTCCTTTCCCCACTTTCGTTCGCCCTCGGACTGTACATAAGACCATACTAATTCTCGTATCCACATGTGTACATACTCTGCGGAGAGATCCCTCGGATCTGGCCGCCCAACACCCGTATTATCCGACTTATTATCCGAAAATGCATTTTCTTATGAGATTATTGTGATCAGCCAAGCTGAGCTGGACGATTTGTTATGCTGTTTAGTTTTCTTCGTTTGCCTAATTTTCGTGTGTATTTAATTGCCTCTTAAATATTGTTTGAACAAAGCGCCTGGCGGACTGTACAGATCAGAACTCTCAGCCATTAACTATTTTTTATCGTATCTTATATATTGTTTGCCCGATTAGCCGCACAACTTGCATGCCTCGATTGAATGTCTCTAAATTACCGATTAATTACGAAACTAAAATGAATGTTGTACAAACGAAAAATTGTAAATAAATTGTGTTATTAGCCTTGCCGTACGTAATTAGAAACCATAGCCAAACATGCCAGCCAAACTCAAATTTCAGCTATATATTTTCCATATTCTTTGCGAAATATTATTTTGAAAGCCTTCTGACATCGGAATCTCTAACCGCCTCTCTGGATGAGTAACGAAGAGCGCGCTTGCAACGAAACAGCCTAACAAATTAATCGATTTTCAGCAGACACAACCAGAACACTTCCATACACACATCCATCCATACACACCATCATTCACAGTCAGTCATACAATACATCAAGATCCATGAGCCATGATCCATCCAAGACACTCACCCCCGCACATTCTACCCTGCTCTCGAACCGCCCACACATGTTGGGCAACATTTGTTGCCAGCCACCAGCAACATTGGGCTGGGAGTTGCACCTCTGGCGTCTGTCAGTCAGCCGGCCCACTCCCGAGCCTTTTCCGCCTGTTGGCCGCCTGCTCATCATCAGCATAAATCATGCGCGAGTAGGACTGAGTTCCGTAGGATTTGGCCAAGACCGAAAAGCTGCAGTCATTCCAACAGCGACACTACTCCGCTCCAGCAACCACTGGGCTGCACAGAGAAAATATCCCTTGAAGTTCTGCAAAGTTTGGAATATTAGAAATAGACTTGTATTTTATCTGTTTTGAAGTTAAATTTTTGTAGATTTGATTTAAAAACTAACAAAAGATAAGACTACCAGATTCCTGGATTACATTTATTCTCAAGATCTTGAAGATTTTTGGCTTTTTTCCAAACTTTAGGTATCTGTTTTCTCTTTTTGTCAAAGTGGATAAGTTTTTTAACTTTGTTCCCTTGTTGCTGCTTTTCCTGGGCTTTTCAAACGCCATACACGACAACGACGACGCCTTTTGCTAAAAGTTTCATAAATCTTGTATTTTTTGTTGGTTTGTTGGCTCGGCGTCTGCCCACAAACTCCCGACTCCTGGCTCCCAACTCCCGAGTCCCGAAGTCGGAGACGGCGTCATTCCATATGACTGCGTTCTACATACCCCGTCGCACTACTTATTTGTGCAACTCGAAACCCCGACTCACTCATACAGTATTCTGTATGGGTATGGGTGAGGCATTATGTCAATGCTGTTCAATATCTGTGCGATCAGCAGTCGAAAAAATGCGGAGCAAGGCAAAAACTCTGAACCCATGTGCCGGCAGTGGCTGTCAAACTGTAAGTGCATTTCGTGATTTTTGTTTCTGTTGGAGCACTTGTGTGCGCCCGCCTCTCGGAGTGAGTTCGTTTTATTTGGATTCAGTAGAAATCTTTTAGCAATGACTGCACTTTGGGCCTCCCCTCCCTGCCAGACCGCTGCCAGGCCCCCCCACCAGACCGAATGGCATTCAGAAATCCCCTTAATTCACGTTGTTTGCTGGCCCAGAATCGAAGCGACTCCTCGCCTTCTTATCGCCAATTTATTTAGCCTCCCTTTGCCTCCCTGTGCCCAGGCGGAGGAGCCTCCCCTCCGCAGAGCACCTTGCATGCTGGCGGGCACAGTTCCCCTCGCGAGAATTTAGATGTTGTAATCGCCTGTAATAATCTCGCAGAGCCCAGAAAACGAAAAGTGTACTAATGTATGCTGGGAAATTAAACTTTGAACTGTGCCATTAATTAATTTCCATCTCGCTGTTGTTGTTTTTTTTTTATTGTAGTTTTCCCCCCAAACACGTCATGTATTGTGCATTTGTGTGTGTGCGTGAAATTAACCAGAAACAGAAATCCAAATCTAAATCAAAATCAAAAAAGAAACATCTTGACTGAAAATTCACTCACAATAATGTTCATAGAGGAAGGCATCTATCCTACTCTCTCGCCTCTATCTCTCTCTCTCTCTCTCTCTCTCACTCACTCTCTGCCCTCTGACACCTCCCACATGTTCCATTCATCATTACCAGAAATGCTAACCAAATACCAAACATATTTTCTTTTTATGTTCCCCCCAATATTTTGCAAATATGTCGAATTCCAAAATATTTCCAAAATGTAAACAGCAATGGGGAGTCGAAGAATGCCTCGAACGCCACCTCGCCGGTGGCGCCCGCCTCCAGCCACCAGACGTCCGTCTCCGCCTCCGCCGCGGCCTCGGACGCCAAGAAGTCGTCGAAGAAGTTCGGCCGGAGCAAGTCCAGCGACATCTTAAAAAAGGAATCTGCTGCCTTGCCCTACGACAAGGGCAAGAGCACCCTCACCCGGCTCAACTCCCTCAAGCAGTGGGGCCGCAACCGGTTCAAGTTCATGCAACGCACCGGGGACCTGGCCGCCGACCAGCTCGACACCAGCGGCTGCAGCTCCCACAACAGCAGCTCCTCGGGGGCCGAAAAGCAGGAACACCATGGGGAATCCGGACATGGCGAGAAGCCCAAACGGGACATCGACGACGAGTGTGTGGTGCACCATTTGGTGGCCCAGAAGAGTGAATCTCGGTTTTCGCACGAACGAAAGCCCTCGTATTCCTCCTCGGAGAAGAGCATGAGTGTGTCCAGCACCGGCCAGCTGAGAGGCAGACTCCAGCCGGTGGGCTCCGTGGCGGCGGCCCATGTCAAGATGCGGGAAACGGCCACCCTGAACCGCCAGAGGCGCAACGGCCTCCACGCCCTGGCCGGCAAGGAGGAGCAGCCGCACTCGTCCAGCGGCAACTGGAGTGCCAGCTCGGAATCCGGCCGGGCCTCCATCGGCAGCGAGATCACCATGCAGCCCAAGTCGAGTGCCTCGAGCACCTCTCTGAATGTCTCCAGCTTCCAGCCGGGCGGAGCAGGCAGTGGCCCGCCTTCGTCCATGCTGAGTAGGAGGCGTTTCCTGAACACCTCCGCCTCGAGCAGTGTGACCGGAAGCGAGGGAACTGCCACTCCGGAGCTCCAGGGCGAAGCTGGAGGCTATCCCGGCCATCTCGATGACGAGACAAGTTCCGCCTACAGCTGCGACACCGAGGGCTACTACACCTCCTTCCACATGGACAGCGGCCTGCGCACCCTCAAGGAGGAGGAGCCTTCGGCGGTGAACGGCACTCCGCTCCAGACCAGCCTGCACACCAGCAGCTACTCCTTCGGCAGCCAGTCCAACCAGACGGTGCTGAACGCAGAGAACGAGTACGAGCTGTTCGGCAAGGGGTCCACGTCGACGACCACCAGCTCGGCGGGCACGGTTTGCACGGTGGCTCTGCTGAGCGGAGCCGTGACCGGGCCGGATGTCCCGGAACGTAGCAGTTCGCTGGGCAAGCAGAGTGGGCAGAGCCGGAGCCAGAGCACCAGTGCCAGCAGCAGCACCCTGGAAAGGAGCTACAGCAGCAGCACCATAGGCAGCACCCTGGAACGCACCGGCACCATTAAGAGGAACGTGAAGATGTCCCCGGCCAAGGGTGGATCTACGGAAATCGAGGAGAAGGAGATGGAGGAGAAGCGGCAGCAGGAGCAGGACCAGCAGCAGCTGGAGTTCTCGGAGAGCTCCGACCTGGAGGGAGTGGAGCGCATAGAGCGCATCAAGCAGAAGACTGCCATAAGCTCCAAGAGGATACCCTCCATGTGCATCATCACGCCCACGACCAGCGACGACGACGAGCACCAGGCGAAGCGCGGCCAGGAGGATCTGAACCGCACCCTGACCATAGAAGTGGACCAGGAGGGCGAGGGCGAGGGCGAGGAGGAGCAGAAGACCCCCACAAACGCCAGCAAGGACCACAACCTGAACGAGCTTAAGCAGACGCCCACGAAAGCCCTGAGCGGGATGTTCGAAAAGCTGAGGGTTAAGCTGGCGCCCGGCAAAAGCTCGCCCACCTCCGGATCTGGTTCACTGCCAAGCCCCAAGCCCGCCAACTCGAGCGCCGTGAACAACGACGAGCTTTACGACTTGGCCGGCGAGTACGTCACCATAGCCGACATCAGCAACAACAACAACAACCAGAACCAACGACCCAAGGTGGCTGCCACGGGAATGGGCATTTACTATTCCAATGACATAGTTACGCGGAGAGCGCCAGTGGCCGTTTCCGAGTATGTGTCGTTGAACGAGCTGCCCCAGCACTTGCGTCGGCATGCAGTCTCGTCGGAAACTCCGCCGAGAGAGAGCCAGAGCCGGGCCTGCGCACAACCACCCTTCGAGCGCGCGCCGGCAGCAGCAGCTGTCGCCGTCGCGGGGCAGCCGGAGCAACCACCACGGCAGCAACGAGCCACGGGGGCAGGCGGCGAGGGTGCTGGTATACCAATGTACGCGGAAATCGGCGAGCTGAGCGAGGAGAAGCCGCTCGGCACGACGGCACAGCGACGACTGCGTCCGAACGCCGAGGGGAGGGTGGTCTACGACTCCGACAGTCTGAAGCGGCGCAAGGGTGCACACACCACCTTCGCACCTGGTCCGTACGTGAAGGAAACCGAAAGTGCGTACAGTGCAGTGCCAGCAGTTGCGGGAGAAAGTGCAACATCCGCAGCAGCATCCCAGAAAACCCCGAAACTCCTACTGTTGAGTGGCGGCATTGTCAACCGAAAGGTGGCCAATGTGAGGCCGATTGTGGCCAAGTCCCCGCTCAGCCGTATCAGCAGCAACAGTAGCGGCATGGCTGCCTACCAGGCCGCCGGAGCCACGTACCAGGAGCAGAAGCAGATCCTGGCCAACCGAACGAACCCCTTCTACGAGACCATTGCAGCGCCCGTGGCCAGCCTGATGATGCCCTCGCCCTCGGGCAAGTCCAACTCCTCCACCGGTTCCGCAGCCACCAACAGTTCCTCCTCCGGCGAAGAAGGTAAGCCCGCGCAGCACCAGCTTCATCCAGACCAGCCGATGGGCTGCCAAACCGAGTCCCCCGTAACCGTAACCCAAGTCCCAACCAAGCCCTGTTCCTTTGTCCCTGTAAATAACACGCTACTTTGCAACACTAAGAGCACCCTGCCACACAACCGTTCAGAAGGCAGCAAGTCAGCGGGCAGCATATCAAGTGTGAGGCAGCAGCATCCGCTTCCGAATCAGAGCCCCAAAGTCTGCGAGTCGAAAGTGAGGGTTGCTGAAATGGAAACTAACCCCCTGGGGGGCGGCCGGGGTGGTTCCATACAGCACACCATTCAGGGGGATGCCGCCAGCGAGGGGGAGCAACTGCCACCCCTACCGCCGAGGGCGAAAGTAAATGACATTCGGGGGGGAGCTGGCAGCCCCAACACCGACACCAACATCCACCCCCTATCGATTGACCCAATTGCGTTGCAGTTTTCCGTTTCCGTTTCGAATCCCAGCCAGCCTCGCGCTGTCCTGAAGCGCAATAACAGCTACAGGCTGGCCAACGACGAGCTGAAGCTCCGGGAGATTGAGATGAACAAGGAGAACCTCGCCGAGAGAACCCTCGCGGCGGCACCTACTTCGGGTGCAATGCCCCCCATGCAGCACGCAACAAGTTCCCTGAGGCTGCGCAATCTCAGCAACTTCTCCAACGGCCAGGGCTCACCTGGCGGGGAGCGCAGAATAGCCAAGTCCTTCGAGCGGCTGGTGGACGAGTTTTCGCTGTCCCTCACCACCGGCAACGACTCCTCCTACCTGAAGAACAAGTCCCTGGAGAACTTTGATGATTCACCGGCTCTTTTGAACGAAACCACCGAACAAAAGCCAGACGAGAACGCCTCAGACGAGTCTGAGGAGGAGGAGGACGAGCCTTGCGCCCCGCCTTTGTCCTTGCCAGCCAAGTACCACAAGTCCTTTGTGGACAGCGTGCTGCTGCGTCCGTTCAAGATTATACTGCCCAGCGACGAGAACGGCAACCGAAGGCAGCGCATCCTCCAGAAATTCGAGGTGACTGAGATATGGTAGTGGCCAAAGTTGCGGTAGTGGCTCCTCCTAAGTAAACAACACATGGTAATTACCCTCAGAAGCCAGGCCCTTGGGCGGCCCTCGGCAGGGGCGTACGTGTTCAATGGGCCAAGACGGAAACTTGTCCTTGGGTTCAATGTCCACCGAGACTCCTTCGCCGACACTAGATATGCTGCTCCTGATTCTGCCAAGAGGAGAGAATTCTTAGCGCTGACTTGCAAGTCCACAACTCCTTACACAGCTTGCACTTTTTTTATAATTTACCACGAATATCTCACACCCTTCCAGCTATCTGTTTGTAAATAACACCCGTGCTTTGTGACTAATTCGAAGTGTTTCATTTTGTCAGTTATTGTTTAAAGTTTAAACCCAAAGTCAAGCTGTGTATCAAGTCCAGGGACCGGCTAGTCCCATGATGGGCCAGTCTCTGGGTGGCCCAGACTTTTAATTAACCTTTTGTTTATAATTGTGCTTGTTTCTGTACTTAACTCTACACTTAAGCGATAATATATGTTACATGTTAATCAGAAATGTTTGTATCAAATTGTAATTAACATAATGCAACGCCTGTACTGTACATTTTTGTAAAGTTTTTTGCACCGTTCACGTCTTGTAATACTCAGTTATGATTTAAAACTAAGCTAAGTCCATGATGCTGATTTTTTAAATTCGATTTCCAAGTGTGAGGCGTGCAAAAGGCTTCTACTGCATCCTAACCAGAGCTTGCTTGCGTCCTCGTCCTCTCGAGTAGTGTAGTAGTAGTTTTTGCACGTTTCCCCCGAAATCACTAGCAGCACGAGTAGTTTAAAGAATTGGCACCATACCCTAACCACCTATGTATGTATGTAAGTTCTCGGCTAAGTTCAGTCCACATTCCATGCCCACCGATCGACAATCAAACAATAAATCGCTAAACAAAACACCCGCATTGACATTATCATTGGCATCTGGTAAAGGTAACGAATACCCGACACACTCTCAAACCACTCACCATCCCACCCACAAGCATCAATTGCATCCCAGCACCATTCCGGCACTTGTAAATACTCGCAAAAGTCATGGGGAGTGGGATTGGGCTTCGGATAAGCTGCCAGGTAATGTCGAGTCGCCCGGGAGACCTCCAGGTATGTAAGGAACCGCTTGCCTTGAACGCTTCTAGTAGATGGTTGCCCAAATTCTAACCAGCCGCACCCGAGACTGCTTACTAATCCTAAAAAGAGCGACTGAAGAGTATAAACGTTGATGACTAATCCCCTGTTTCCATTTCTTTATCGCCCTGCAGGGTATCAACGTTTCTCTAATATCTATGAGCAAGTGCAGCCAGCACCGAACACTCAGCCCTCGGAGACAGTTGAGACTGCCTCGCCCTTCCAGCGCAGTGCGCCCATCTACTGGACGCTGCAGAGCCGGCGCAGCCAGCCAAGGCCACAGCCCACGAGCGGCGTGACCTGCCGGGACGACCTCTATGCCACGCCCATACGCCGGGCCGACCGACTGCCGCGCCCAGTGGCGGCAGCAGCCGGAGACGGGAACCGCACCAACATATCGCCGATCGTGCCAAGGAATCGCAGCGGTGGCGCCTTCCTCACCTCCACGCCCACGCGAGGAGGCCTAGTCGGGGGAGGCGGCGAGGGAGAGAACTCCGGCGTCCAGGTGCCCCCCATGAAGCAGCCCTCGAGGAACTGGAGCGATGACTCTCCCGAGCGCCTGAATACCTGTGCCGACCGAATTGGTCAAAGCAAGACCACGCTGATGGACTTCAAGAAGCTGCTCCTGGCCAAGTCCGCCAAGGCAAGTCCGGTCCAGCGCAAGGTCTCTGCCGTGGAGCTCCTCAAGAAGTCGTCTGCTGGAGCCAACCCACCCCCTCCCCAGCCGAAGCCAGTGACAGCGGTCCAGAAACTGGCGCCTGGAAAGCCCACCCTGAACTCCAGCCTCAAGCTGTTGGACTTGAGTGGATCCCCCAAGACGTTTGCCAACCGGAGGATGCTGCGCCAGGGACAGTTCGGTTCGCCCTCCAAGACTTTCGCGCCCAAAATGCGGGGTCCCGTGAATGCGGTGACTGCTGCAACGGCGCCAGCACGGACGGACATCATGTCCACCACCATACCGGAGGCCAACAGCGAAGAGGACAACTCGAACACCAGCGGGGGCTCCAGGGCCAGTTCCGAGGCGGGGGAAACCAAGCCCACCCTCTCCACCTACGACTTGCGGCGGAACTTCTTCCTGCAAACCGAGGAGAACAATTTTATGCGCGGGGAATTGAAGTCGAGCTTTGCCAGGTCAACAAACGGAGCAGGAGTAGGAGCCACGGGAGCGGGCTCAGCAGCGAGTGGGGCCATCGGAGGAGCTGCCAGCGCGGAGAGCAACAAGTGCGTGCCGGTTCCGGTGACGAATCCAGCGCTGCCATCGTTTGAGACGGCTCTGTAGAGGAATCGGGTCCAACCCACTTCTGAAGCCAGGAGGCAGATAGATATACACATATACATATACATATTCCATAAGTAACGATCCGAGAATCGAGAAATGAGCAATTCCCTTCCGTAGCCACGCCGAAATTGCATTTATTGACAAGAGCGGAAGTCGAGTCAGAAGCGATGCTACTTTATGCAACATATACATATATCAGAATATATATATAGGTATATATATAAATATACAACACCTTTATAAAGTAAACTGTATTTTTTAAATTGTGCTGCTTGTATAAATCGGGATGATGTTTTATACACGAATACGAATCGTCTGTACACCTATACAACATATTTATTTGTAATTTTACGTTATTTATTGCATTTATGTATTACGCCACACGCATTGCTCTTTGTTTTGTACGTCTACGAACTAGGGAGACCAGCAAATAAATAATAAACATTGAATAACACTGACAATACTGGTGTACATCTTTGGGTCGATTTTGTTGGGTGGTTATAGCATGGGGTTTCATAGATTGAGTATGGAATTAGGTTTACATGTTCTTCAAATCTTCCTTTAAACGAAAAGCATTACTCTCCTTCATTTGAATTTTATATAAAAGAGACTTATCTACGATAAATTATACTTATCTAAACTAAATGTCAATTATAAAAATGTTTAAAAAAATCATAATTGCTGATAACAGTAAAAATATAAGGATGCAGGCCTAGTACTTTTGAAATATAAACTGATTAGGGAATGTTGTCGGGAATGCCATAACTATCGACCCTGAGCTCTACAGACTATATTAAATCCAACTACGGCCCACGCTTCCCGATCTGCGTTTGCTCGACTTGTCTCCGACTGAACCAGCAGCCTGATCCTTGCGACCCATCACGGGTGAGCCGCCAGACCCTATGTTGCGGATAAGCTGCTTAAGTCCCCGGGCCTGGGCGTCGCTAGCCTGGCTCACACTATTCGCCTCAGAGGCAATAATGCAAAAGTCGTCCACGATGTGACCGGGTGGACTAATGTCAAAGGGCAAGATGTCACTGAGGCTTTGTTGCGGTCGATAGACGCTCCTCCGCCGAGCACCCGCATCCCCACTAAGGGAACTTCCGCTGACTGCTCCCGTTCCCGATTGTTGCTGGGTCACTTGGTGGAGTTCCTGTTGCAGGTGAAGCAGTCGGGTGCGAAGACCAGCATTGTCGTCGCTGAGGCGTTGCATATGAGCCGCCTCCTGCTCGGCCCGCACAAATGTGGGTTGCGGCAGACATTGGTAGACGGTGGTTAGAAAGTTTTGAAGCGAAAGGAGCAGTGTATCCTGCCACTGCTTGGTGAAGAACAGAGCAAACGTGGGTGACTCCTCCGCATTTCGGCAGAACGGAAAATCTGAATTGGAAAGCATCGATGGGAATTAATAAGGGCGTTGCCCCGGCCGTAGCGTAGAACACTTACAGAACCAATCCTTCCACTCACTATGCTGCTGCAGCTCTCCAGCCATCTTTGTGAAGAAATCCGAGACCTTATCGTGTCGATTATTACTGTATGCCGTGACCAGATAATACTTTAGTAAGCTGTTCTCCAGTTTTTTCACAGCTAAAATAAAGTGAGTGTTTTATGAATCATAGCTTTGAAGTGCCATCCCTTAGGACCTACCCACAGCGTAGGTATGCTCAAGCTTTGAGAACAGGTTGTTGTCCAGGTGCAGCCAAAGACTGCGAAGGGCCTGAAGGTCGTAGGCCTGGATTGCGTTTTGGAACTGCTCGAGAATTCGCTCCGCCCGAAAGTGTTGGTCCTTCTCCGTGCGTTGCTCCAAATCAAGGGCCTTCAGGGTACTGGAAAACCCACGGAAAACTAGGTACTCCCTCAGCAGGTTGTCCAGAAAAGCCACCTGCGTCATTTTGGTAAAAATTGCAAAAATTCGTTCCAGGAAAACTTTGTTTTTGCTTTTTTAGACTGACCAAACTGCACAAACATGCTAGGGATGGCACTTATATTAAGAGTGTTCTTATACTCTAGGTATTCTTATACTTGTATAAGAAGTGCACAGTAGTCAGGTGTTTAAATTCGTTTATTAAAATTAAAATGTAATTGTGTAATTAAATTGTTAAAATTACACTTAATGTATTTATTTTTTTTATGAATTATTGCAAATTATGATAATTTACTTATAAAATCTATTCATTTTGTAGACTCCGAAAAATCAAAAATTTATTCGTCGTATTTCATTCAAAATCTGGACAACGAATAAGCTAAAGATAACAGTATATATTTTAATTAATAAATGAATATTTATGTTCCTACAAAAGAGAAAATATATAAACAATAATATTCTCGTTTTAATATAATTTTTAAAACTCTTACAGTCCAATTAGCCATTTATTCTATTTTTGACTGCCAAGTCTGACTGAATGCACTACTTCTTCGACATATTCATTTTATTGCTTTATTCTTGAAATATGTTTAAATAATGATTATTTAAAATGAGGTTTTTATTGATTCCTTGCATTTTTAAAGAAAATTCAAATTAATATTTTTAATATTTTCTTCGCATGCTTTTCAACACTGATTTCTAGATTTGACAGCGCCGCGTGGAATGTGGAATGCAAGTGGACCGTAATTGGACGCATGTTGTACAAAAAAACTGCAGTCGAGTGAACCAAAACGAACCAGGAAATAAATAATAAGCATACTTACTGGAAATCCACTGACATAAAGGACACCCACGGAGGCAGGATCATTGTTGACTAGTAACCAGAGGACTCGCAGAGCAGGAACCGCTCCCCAAGAAGCGGCGGCCCCAAAATCGCCAAAAAGCCATCGCGCACACAAACAAACAAACCCACGCACTCACACTCACACTCGCAACACTCGCGCAGCCAAGGAGCTGAAACTAAGGCAAAAGAGAAGAATTCCGCCAGAAGAAGCAGAAGCAGCACTACTAGCCATTAGCAATCACATAGTATCGTTCCCATTCTCGAGCGGCTGAAGCGGTTGGAGCAGCGGCAACCACAGCCACGGAAATAGCCACAATAACAGTCACAAAGTTTGCAAACGGATTCGGAGCCGGAAGCCATCGCCAGGATGAGCATGGAGAAAGTAGCCAGCAAGCAGTACGAGTCGTAAGTGCGGCCCGTAATCCCACTCACCTTCTACTTCCCCGTAGAAACTAGGCCAGCATCACCACACAACACACATCTTTGGGGCGATTGTTAGGTTATGTTCTGGCACCATTTACGTGCGCTTGCTTATTTTATTCAGTCCCGTTCTTATTGATCTTCCTCGGACTGGCGGAAAAGGATATCGGCAGCCAGCTCCTCGTTCTTGTCGCACGCCAAATACGCCTGCACGGCCAGGTCGCGGTGGAAGCCCAGCGAAACGAGGCGCTCCACGGCGGCAGCCTCCTCGCTGGTCAGTGTAATAGTGTGGACATGGCTGAGGTCCCCCTCGGACTCCTCGCTGAGCTCGCTACCTTCGCCAACGACGCCCGAGCCGCTCCCATTGATCATGTTCAAGAACTCCTCCTGATGGTTTCGAATCGCCTCGAAGGCTGAAGGATCGTCCTCAGCCAGACGCGACAGCACTACCTCGAGCAGCTCTGGGTTTCGGCGTATCATCTCACGCACCCGAGCAAAACGGGGATCAGAGATCAATGGCTGAAGAGTCTGGGGCGGCCCGCTGGTCCCTGTATTGGCCGGTTGCGGAGCGTTTTGGGGAATCCCGTTGATCAGATACTCTATGGCACGCTCCGGGTGATTGAAGCTCGCCCGGAGAGCGGCTCGCACCTCCTGCTCACCATAGCCCATGGCCATGAGATCCCTCACCCGCTGCTCGTTGGGCGCTATCGATGGCGGCGACGGTTCCAGTGCCGATGCCGGTGTCATTAGTGCCAAGGCAGGTGCCGGCGAGAGCGGAGGCACCTCGTGGGTTTGGGTTTCACTGGGACCTGCGGTTAATGGCGGCGTTGGAGGTACTTGCTCCTCAGCCGACGTGCCTTGAGGCTTCGCCGGAGGCATCTTCTTCCCCATCAGCACAATGAACTTGTCCTCGGCTATTTTGTAGTCGCTAAGTGGCAGTGCGTCCTCCATTATTCGGCCGCCGTAGATCAGCTGCTGGCTGTCCACGGGAATGGCCACCTCCGGCATGCTGCCCAGGCGCTGCTTCAGGGCCCGCACATCCTGCGAGTCACTCATCTCGAGTTTGATGGTGCGCTGGTCCAGCGTGCGAATGGAAATCTTCATGACTGCTCTAGAAAATAGAAATTTTGTTATTCGAATTGTCGGCTAAGTCTGACAGCGTTTGTCTGATTGCTAGGGCGGGCTTGTGAGAAGTGAATGGATCTTGAAATCAAACCCTTGACATACTAATCAAAAACTTTTTTCTTCCTACTCCGTTCCCCTATGTGTGTGTGCCATGCCCGGGCCTTTCAGGAAAGTCTGGCCAGAAATAGTCGACAGCGACGACAGCGATGTGGAGAACGAGATAGACGTGGACAAGCTGCCGCCACTGGAGGTGGGACCAGGCGAGAACCGGCTGCAGCACACATATTGCCTTTGGTTCTCCGCAAATCGCTGCACGTGGTCGGAAGGTGCGCCAGCGTGCAGCAGTGGTGGTCGCTCTACTCGCACCTCATCCGGCCCACCGCCCTCAAGCCCTACCGGGAGCTGAGCCTCTTCAAGCAGGGTATCAAGCCCATGTGGGAGGACCCCGCGAACAGCAAGGGCGGCCAGTGGGTGATACGGCTCCGCAAGAACAAGATAGAACGGGCTTGGGAGAACGTCTGTATGGCGATGCTCGGCGAGCAGTTCCTCGTCGGCGACGAGATTTGCGGCATAGTTCTCCAGACAAAGTATCCGGTGAGTTTAAGCTTTTTTATAATCCCCTCTGTTGAAGCCATGCCAGGCACTTTGGTCAGAAAATACTATATTCTCAAAACCCCATTTTTAAACCAGTGAAATTAGCTTTAAACTAGTGATTGTGGATATATTTACCGAAAAGTGATTTAATTAGTACTGGAATGTGTTGCCAAATTTGAATTTTGTCCCTAATACAGCCAGTGTTGAAAAACGCCAAAATATATTTCCTATTTCGTGGGGAAAAATTATTTTATTTATAATATAAATGATTATAAATGTCATACTCGTAGCTAGTAAAATATTATTCCAGCTATAAATATTCGTTTAAGAGTGCCGGTCGCGTTTCATTCATAAAATTTGTCGCGCATGACGGATCGCGTACCAAATGGAATCCACAAACAAACCATGGCTTGTTGTTGTTGTTGCCCCTAAGTGTTGTAAATCGTTTTCTACATCGTCTATTTGCAACACTGGTTTTGTCTGGCGTTAGGGTGTTTTGCAAGAAACGACAACAAAAGTGAAAACACGAAAATGCTGGTCAAAAGAAAAAACAAAACTACTTGCAATTATTACAACATTTAATAGGTATAATTAAGTTAAATAATACCAAAAATAAGTGAAAGTTTTCAGCTGCACAAGTGTTCAGATGCTGGTCAGGCTCTGAAGTCTATAAACGTATTTATAAAGTACAAAATTAAAAATTCGGAGATGACGCCAGGCAGGTTTATCTTAAAAAAACGATTAAAAAATAATTTAATTTTTGCCGGCTTTTAATTAAATACTGAGGTAGGAGTCACAAATGGAGAGAGCAAGCGAGAGTTATAGTGAGAAGCTGCGCAATTTTGCTCCCCACTTCACAGGCATACCCACACACACGCACTATAGAATCACGCAACCGGGCCCCTTCTATCCCCTGCTGTTAATTTTACAGGTCATGATGGTTTTGGTCTTCGCTGAAATAACATAATACTATAAAGAAATTTATATTATTCAGGCATTTATATTGTGCAGGTACGCGGAACTAATTTAAAGATTTAAGCCCCAATTTAAGCTTGAATATAAATTTGTTTGCTCCATTTAGAACCGTGAAACGGTTAAGACCGATTAGAAGCTAGATGTACAAGAAAATACTAAGACTTCGATTTGCAGTATAAATTTCGGCGGTAGAATTTCAATAAAAAGCTAGATCTGGTATTAAAGTAGCTAAAATGCAACGTTAGTAGTGTGGCCATTGTAACGTTATACAGAAAATACCGCGTCAGTGTGCCTGCCCCAATAGAGCATAGTTAGGGTATCAAAAATCCAAGTTCGAATAATTCCAAAAATAAAACTCGCACCGCGGACGACGCACGTCGGACGACCGTCGACGGAATAGACGAAGTTATCAGCGTTTCGCTCCGCGATAAAAATTACGAAAAATTCGCTAATCTCCGGGACTGTATTGGTTTCCTGTTAACTAAAAAAAAAATAAATTAAAGTATTAATATCGCTGCGCGTTCAGCAATGTGCGGGTAAAACAATAGGCGGCAATAACTCTGGCACCCAACATAAAAGTGCGAGCGAGAGCGAGCGAAGTGGCCGTGCGTCCCTTTCCCACCCACCGTACGCAACAAACGAAACGAAAATAAAACGCAAGCAAAAAGGAGAAAGAACAAATAACGCCCACCGTAACACCCCCAGCCCCCGCCCCCTCTTACGCTTGTTGACGAAGCAGCAGCAGTAAAAGAAGAAGAAGAAGAGGCATCAGCACAAGCAGACGGCAGAATTGGAGCTTTGCGCAGAAATCGATTTTTTTGCCCATTTTAAGAGATTTTCGGGAGCCTCTCCCACTGCTGTTCCCCAAAGTCGCCTCTGCGTCCGTGTGTGTGTGTGTGCTGGTGTTTGTGCGGGCGAGCGTGTTTGCGCGAAAGTGAAACAAACAAAAGTAGCCAGGAATTTTGCTAAAAAGAAGCCCAAGATTATTTTAATTGTGGTGATATCGGGCGTGTGGGGGTTTTGCCAGCAATCTTGCCGTTTTCTCGCCCCGTGAGTCACAAAAATCATTCAGCTTTAGCTTTTTAGCTGCTGGCATTGAAGAGGTGCTGCCGCAGCCGCAGCCACAGCCGACGTCGCCGCCCGCAAACACGCGCTCTCACTATCTCTCTCCGCCTGTCTCTCTTGCGAAAAACTTAAGAAAACGGGGCGCAAGAGCAGCACATAAAATAAAAATATTAACCGAAAGTTTCCAAGTGCAGGCAGCCGCATCGGAGGAAAAGTGAAAGAAAAGTAAAATATACTTAATAGCATCCACAAAAAAAAAAAAATAAAAAAGAGCGGCGCCCCTCAAGCAACGGAAAATCAATAAAAAGTCTCTCAGTGGCAAAAAGGCAAAAAGAAAAAAAAAACAACGTGCAAACAAGTTAAAAAGCAAGCTGCAAACTCCGCGCGGGCTTGCACGTGTGTGTGTGTATGTGTGTTAACGTCTAACTGCTAATCGCAAACCGCGTAACAAAAGCTTACGTAAAGCTTAGCGAAAAACACAAAAACAACGAAGCGAGAGCAACAAACGCAACAAAAAAAAAAACACAGAAACCCCAGAAAACCCACACCCCCCCAAAATCATCTAATAACTCTATCAAAAAAAAACCCAGTTAAGCAAAAGCAACAAAAATGACGAAAGACAGATTAGCCGCTCTGCATGCCGCCCAGTCCGACGACGAGGAGGAGACAGAGGTGGCCGTCAACGTGGACGGCCATGACTCCTACATGGACGACTTCTTCGCCCAGGTGGAGGAGATCCGGGGCATGATCGACAAGGTGCAGGAGAACGTCGAGGAGGTGAAGAAGAAGCACTCGGCCATACTGTCGGCCCCCCAGACGGACGAGAAGACCAAGCAGGAGCTGGAGGACCTCATGGCCGACATCAAGAAGAACGCCAATAGGGTGCGCGGCAAGCTCAAGGGCATCGAGCAGAATATCGAGCAGGAGGAGCAGCAGAACAAGTCCTCGGCGGATCTGCGAATCCGCAAGACCCAGCACTCGACGCTGTCCCGGAAGTTCGTCGAGGTGATGACGGAGTACAATCGCACCCAGACGGACTACAGGGAGCGCTGCAAGGGAAGAATACAGCGTCAGCTGGAGATCACCGGCCGGCCGACCAACGACGACGAGCTGGAGAAGATGTTGGAGGAGGGCAACTCGTCGGTGTTCACGCAGGGCATCATCATGGAGACACAGCAGGCGAAACAGACGCTGGCGGACATCGAGGCCCGCCACCAGGACATCATGAAGCTGGAGACGAGCATCAAGGAGCTGCACGACATGTTCATGGACATGGCCATGCTGGTGGAGTCGCAGGGCGAGATGATCGATCGCATTGAGTACCATGTGGAGCACGCTATGGACTATGTGCAGACGGCAACTCAGGACACCAAGAAGGCTCTGAAATACCAGAGTAAAGCGCGACGAAAGAAGATCATGATACTGATCTGCCTCACTGTGCTGGGCATCTTAGCGGCCTCATATGTTAGCAGTTATTTCATGTAAATCTCGAATGCAATTACTTACTACTCACACACTCATTATCCGCATACCTTAACATTACTATATACATGCATTATATACAAGCTCACACCCCCAACACTCGCATCGGGCTCGATCTCGGGTCTGTGTAGGATGTTGCGAAACCCACCCAGAGAAAATGCAAATGAAAATCGAAAGCGAAACCTAATCTGTAAACTGCAAACCAGTGACCCTGAAAATCTCACGAAACTAGGGATCGATTACACCAATTATAGCTAATATATATAGAGAACATTGTATGGTTAGTTTGATTGTACGAATTATGAAGAACAAATGATAAGAGTCTCTACATCTACACCTTACACACGAAACTCAGAATTGATATAGCTACCAGAATATTTAGTGAAAACAATGTAAACAAATTGCTAATTGAAATATTATAAATGAAAACTTACTTGAAAGTAATTGCAAAAAAAGAAAACATGAAATTTTATTGATTATTGTTATAATGCGAAGCAAAAAAAAAAACAAAAAAAGTTTAAATTATAATAAAAGATAGGAACACATTCACATAACACACACTACTCACTGCAAATGCTTGCAAGAAAAGGGAGATCTGTTGATTTCTCGGTTTTCGAACTTTGAAGATGCATTTAGTTTTTGTTTGTTTACATAGTTTAGTTTCCTGTTATAAGCTCTCACCTAAAGTAGCCCATCACCACACACTCACCCACTCACCGAGCAAGACGGAGGAGCAGCAACAAATCTCTAGTTAACTTTGAATATTCATTATAAAGATTGTTTATTATGCGAGATAATAACTATATTGACTATTTACTATAATGCTATTTACTTAACATGTTCATATTTATTGAATGCATATATATATTATATATAGAGATATACAAACACACCACAAATATATATACTAGTTGATAACTCGAAAATCGAAAATAAACTAAGACGAGATATGATCAGAAGCTGAGCAAGTCGATGGAATGCCACTCAGAAAGTAAACACAGCCACCTCACCAACACGAGCACGCGCGCCCTACCCCCCGCCCCCCAGTCTCCCACTAATCGGCAAACATTTAAGTTTTAGTTCCGTATCTCTTTGGTTGTCGCAGACTTCCCTCGAAACTGGTTTTGTTTTCAATTGCTATGATTTCATCCCAACCGCCAACTCATGCCTCACCCGCCACGCACATTGTACGGCTTTTTCTTTCTTGATTAACCTAATTTATTTTTCGTTTCTTTCCTGCCCCACCACCCCCCCACCACAACAACTAACAATCGGAATGCAAATATGCATACTCCCCATAAACAAAATATGACTGGCATGCTAAAAAACCAATCACACATTGTAGTATTCAAGCCACCAAGAACTAGCATGCACATGCTCATCGAGGCCTGTAATCCGCATAATATTATACATTAAATAATTTGTAGTACAACCGAACCACACAGAAATGCCATGCAATATTATTTATGCAAAACGTAATGTATTGTAACACTCTCGAGAGAAAGACACGCGGAGAAACGCTTTCGCTTTAAGTAGGAACTGCCTTTTGTTAATGCACCTGGAAAGCCACCACAGGGCTGCGCCAAGTGGTGAATTTCTATCGATTACCCACCACTCGCAACTGTCAGAGTTGCATTCTGTGCACGTTTTTTCCACTTCCGTTTTCCACTTTTGATCTTTTGTCGAACGAGAAGAATGCCCCAATTCGCCACGACAACAGCAACAACCAGCACTTGACCACAACAACAACAACACCCAGCCAACACCGCGTTTAAATCAAATCAAAACCACTATCGTAATCGACGCCGACTTCGTATTATGCCAATCAATCAAACTGCATTTGGGTATCGAACAACCACAAAATGCAATCCATAAGCCCGATAACATATAAACAAATCAATTGTAACACGCGACTCCGCCCCGCCAGTTCCAGTTCGTCAGTTCTTTCCCGCTTCCAGTTACCAGTTACCCAGCGACAGCTACAGCTACAGCTTCCAGCGAGAAACAGCTGCAGTGCCCCATTCCCGTGCACCGAGGTGAGTAATATACAATAATTATTCAACATTTAGCATTCTTTTATCGGCAATTCTCGCAATTACTCTCTCTACGTCGGAGTTTCCCTCGCGAGTCGCGACTTGTCGCGGTCAACATTGAATAATGGTCGAAGGTCGCGTTTCATGTCCTCCAACTTCCAACGTCCACCGCCCCTCCCCAGCCCAGTCCCAGTCCCAGTCCCCTATTCTATAAATGCGTGCCCTTTGTGTTGTGACATTTCGAGTTTCAAGTGTGCGAAAGAGCACGAGAGGGGGGCGGCGAAACAAGATCTGGCGGACAAATGAAGCAAAACAGAAATAGCTAATTATACTCATTGTTGAGGGGGTATACCTATTTTTTATCCATCACGGCCTAAAAATGCCAATGACATCACTATAGACATCACCTGGGAATTAAATTTAATTTAAGGGAATTTAAGGGGGTCTTCGAATCTATAAATTTGAGAAAATTGACAAATTTAGTTTTTTAAATGTTTGACATTTTGAACAGAATTTGAACAGAACTCTCTGAACAGAATTTAAAATAAGAATTCATTTTAAAGTTATCGTCGTTGAAGTGTCGTGGAAGTAGACCGATAAGACGGACGACTGAAACTTAAGACGCGTTTTTTGCTCAAAACAACTTTTTATGATAAGGTCGTTTTTTTAAGTTCTTTGTATTTGTAGTTCTTGAATTTTTTGAAATTCGTCATTAATATTTATCGAATATTTCTATATCATACAGAAAAAAATAGAAGAGAAAGTTTGTTTTATTTTTAAAAATGATTCCAAAAGTAGAACAAATTGTGAAAAAATCGATTTTTGGTTTTAATAGGCGCTATGGTATACAAAAAATGTATTTTCGGGTTTTTTTGTTTATTAAGATTTAGACGACTCCCTCGTTTCTTTTTTCAAGAGTCTAATTCGTGTCAACCAGGACACGCCCTTTGTTCTCTCCGTTTAGTACTGCATACTTCTTTTAAAAACTATTATTCTTTTTGTTTACCTTATTGTGTATTCTGCTTAAATGTAAATAGACAAATTAGGAATCATAGTATCCATTAAAATGGGTAATAAAAAGATCAAACGCTTATATTTAGTGAATTAATAAAAAACTCTCTTAATTCTACTGTCTGATTAGAAGACCCCCTTAAGATACATACATTTGGTTAATGTAATTTAGAAAATGAGTGTATGTCTGGTTCTAAACTAGTCTGTCCCTCTTAAATATTAAATATTCCCATTCAGCGCGTTCTTCCCCCAACACAGCTGCCTGTATTCCCCATCTATTGGCCGGCTCTTGTCATCTACGGTCATTAAAAAAAGCATTAATTAGTACACACTCTCTCTGGCCTGGCGGAGCATTAAAACAATTGCCCAGATAACGAATATTTATGTAGAATAATTAATATGTCTATTGAAAGTTTATATTTAATTACTTAATACCCTGATCAGGCCCAGTAAAGTTGATTAGTGCATCCAGTGCAATAATTTGAAAAGTTATGGAAATAAACCACAGCATCTCGGCCGGCGATGATCTCATAGGATTCGTGGCGAGTTATTTTTTGGACTGACCCAATCACTTGAAAGCTCAGATCTGGTGGTTTTTGCGGGGATGTTTTGTAAGTGATTTCACACTTTGCTGTTTCGTGCTTTTAGGTTCCCCCTTTTGGGCTTCAAGACACACGAGCATGTGGAAATGTTTCTCAGTGATTTCGCTTTATATCACGAATTAAGCTCCGCCATTTCTATGGCCACCTTTCTACCGCTCCATTCATTAATCTTGGCTCTAACTTCTTTCGTGATGACCCCTCAGAAGAGCACGATATCGTGTCGGTTGCGTGTGTGGCATGAAAGCATTATCTGCACAAGTTTTCTATACTATGGATGTGTGTCGTTTATCATGTATCATTTCATTTTGTTTCCCCGCCGCTTCCTGTCAGCGGCAACTGAATAGGCTGAATGGGTAACGCCATCGTCAGGCCTCTAATGCGAGTCGAACATGCAGTGCAGAGTTCGCGCCTCCCCCGTTCAGAAATAAAAAGCTTGAATTGAGTCATCGTTGTCACCCAGCGACCTTACTCGCGCCTGCCCTCTGCCTGCCCCTCGTTTTAATTTTGCAATTTTCAATTCAATGAGTAATCTGAATATTACAAGGCTTCTAGATATCATTCGAATCAAACCCGATATATCCAAATACTATGACGGGTCTCCGATCAAAAGTTTATTTACACTCTTCCCCAATTAGTTATTAATCGGTTCGAGTTCAAATACAATATTCAGGTGCGCAGAGGCCTTTTCGCATAGATAAATGAGGCGATCAAGCCACAGGGTGAATCATCAATGTTATCACTTGATAATGAGTCCACAAGTGGGCGGAGATAACACCCATCCAGTGAAGCCAGCCAGTCACCCGTCCACTGGCTCTCTATTTGTTCCACCACCCATACACCCACACACCCAAATGCAATTAAAAAGTTGAACTCTCGAGTGACAAACCCCCTTGATTCTCGTGTAACCATTTTTTCAATGTCTCTTTGCCTTTTTACCTTGTTGGACTCCATCACATCGCCTTTGTGTGCCTTATTGTTTGCAGGCCCCCATGTGGTAGGAATGCCCGCAGCATTTATTACGCTTCCTAAGAGAGGGTATATCTTATGCTGTATTTATTTTGGCAATTCTAATGGATGATGAATTTTATTTAATTTGTTTTGCAGTCTCTGACTTTTTTATTGAAGTATTTGCGATGTCCTTCTTGAATCTATGGTCCTTCTCAAACCTCTCGTATTTGGTGACCCTGCTGCAGTGCCACGCCCCCTGCAGCAAACATCTGCCAGTCATGAATTCAATTTGTGTATTTATCTACATTTTTTGCTTCGCTTGTCAGCTTTTCTTTTTATTTTCGTGGTGGTGTCTGTCTATTACTTCGATTGCTTGCCAAATCAAACACAAGTAGTATCTATATATTTTTTGTGGTACAATGTTTTTATCTGTGTGGGAGTTTTTTCGCCAGTTCAACTTTGTCTGGTGAGTCACATATTTTGCCGGCTTATGACTGGCTGACTGGCTGTTGTTGCGTTTTTAGCTGTGGCTGTCAGCCTACGGTTTGATTTATTGATTCACATCGGGAAGCTTCAAGCTTGTCTCTACAAATCGAAGTTCGCCGGGGTTCGAGGGCTCTTCAAGCTATTTCATACGTTCGTGCGAAGTTTTTCTATGTATTTGTTGAGACTATCCATTGTCTTGTTAACTGTTGAAACTTGTCTGCCAAGATGTTCTCGACAGCGCTCGTTCTTCCTTTAAAAGTTTGTGATTTGCCGCTGCATGAGGGGCCAAAGTCTTCGAGCACCGACCATGTAAGAAGTTGCCAAGCACAAAGTAAAAGGAAGCCTGCATCCTGCGTTCCGTTTCCTGCCTTTCCCCATCGGATGCAGGCGAATTCTTTGAATTTATCTACGGAATAATAAAATCTAGAACCAACTAAAGCACAAAGTGCAAACTTGATTTAAATTTGCGAGTTTCTAGCTTTGGAACTCTGTGAGGAGGTCCGTATTTTTAATTTCTTCCCCACCTCGTCGGCATTGAAATCAATTTGCCTAAAACTTGTGTATTCTGCCAAACAGGACGGCAAAAAAAGGATAGGATATCGATTTTTGGCCTCGCTCGGAAACAATTTGTTAATTGAAAACCAAAATTTCATGCCTCGGAAGATGAGTTGGCTCAGAGGTGTGTTGAGAAAACGGGCACGGTCCTTGAAACGGCATGTGGGTTGTGGGTGGTTTCATTTGACCCATGGGTCCCATATAACAGGAAAAAAAACACACACCGGCAGCCCGGTTTTCAGTGTGAGGGCGTAGATTTTGTTATGGAAGCAGAATTAATTTTCAGTTTGCCAAACAACAAATTTTCATGGGCGATAAAATGTATAAAATCCCCCAAAACTAATTAAACTGCGACAAACTTTTCGAGAATTCAAAGCTCAACAGAAGCTGGGATAAGCTCAGGTAAAAAAGAACAAAATGTTTAGATTTTATTTTATGAAATACAATTGTGTATAAAAACAAGCTTAATTTTCTACACAAAGTCATATTCTGTTTGATTATGCATTGGCCCTGCGGGTTCGTCCCTTGATACCTGTGGTTTAACCCTTTCTGGGTTGCCTTCTTCCCTTCGAGGCAGGAGTTAATTTGCCTACTTTTATGTACTTCCCCGGCTTGACCACGCCCACCTGCCCCTTTATGCCAAATTATATGTGTATTTAATGCTGCTGCAGAAAAACAAAGCCGAGTATCAACATATAATGTGTTCTGCCGGGCATTTACGAACGCTACCAGAAAAAGGCTGAAAACCTGACCCAGAAACGCGAAGCGGGTGGAAAAAAATGGGTCTTGTTGGGGGGCTCTTCTCGTTACCAAAAGGGTTGAAACTGATTTCGAGTCCCAAGGTTGAGCCAGGCTTCTGGCGAATTTTCATATTTCTCCCTTTGTTTTCTCTGCGGTACAGAAAAGTACAAAAAATGAAAAGAAAACTGAAATTCGCACATTTAAATTCCGTGCGCCTCGCTTCATCTTCAATTTCCTTTTAAACTTGGCTCACAAAGACGAAGAAATGGCAGTTAACCAAGCGTGATGCCAAAAGAAAGAAGAGTGAAAAGGTTGAGACCATAAATATTAATGATGGCAAGGAGGGTATTTGCCTTTAATTAAATGAACCTCTTATGCGTATGGTTTTAAATGGCTGAATTGTTTTCTCTTTCACTTCAAGATTAAAATCTTTATGTTGTAAGTAGCTTTTTTTGCAAAAATAAAATGTAAGAAAATTGAATTTTTTGCCAGCAATTCGCATGTTTGAAACATGTCCTGGTTCAGTTTACTGTACTAATAAAAAAGACACAAGAGCTTCAGGTGTAGCCGAACATGGTATACCTTTGTGGATAAAAAGTCATTTGCTTTTATTGATATAGAATATATATGATATAATATAATATGATTGATACTTGCATA